GTCTCTTATTTCATTGTGCAGAGCAGGCAACTGACAATCAAAGTGTGACTGACTTTGAACTATGGTAAATGCTACAGTGGTTGAACCGACGTGGTTTCACTCTATATTCAGCTTTTTTTTTTCATATCATTGACTGACAGTGTAATAATGCTGACAGGTTTGTGAAATCTTCAGTATTTCAAAGTTGCAGTGTTTTGAGGGAAGGAGGTGTGAACTGAAATGTGCCAATAATGGTGTTTATAGTATTTTCTCTGTCAAGTGTTGAGAGGCTGTTGAGGGGTTTATTGAAAACCTTTCCATGTCTCTGATATTAATCACCAAGGAAAATCAGGAACTGGATCACTGTATTTGTTTGTATTAAAGTATTTAAACTTTTGTGTCGCAGTATCTCATTTCTCTGCACAAATTGAAATAAGTTAACAAATTTCGATAATAATTTTTTACTGAATTAGTCACTGTTGCAGGTGTTTGACCCATCTCCATCCATATTTCTGTGACCGATTGTGAGAGCACTTACATCGATTATGACTCGAAAAACTACAGAACTTTAATTAACGTTAAGTTAATATTAATGCAAATTCAAAAAACACACAAAACAAGTCTGATTACCACAGAATTGATGTCTTATCACAGAATTTAAAATAGATGTAGCTGAATGCATAAGGTGTTCTGGATATGTTGCTGTCACTTTCAAACTCTAGGTGGTGCACTTCTGCCACAGCTAAGAAATTTTCTTCATGAGAGACGTGATAGGATAACATGTAAATATATAGTTTGCGTCACACTTCCCTATTTACCACCAAGAACCCTTTATGGTGCAGTAAACAGGAGCATAAACCTCAATGTTTACTCGATGAAACTGTTATGAAAATAGGAAAACTAGTTTTTATATAATCATTATTATTATTATTGTTGTTGTTTCTATAGTTATTATTAATATTATTAATCACAGGTTTGATGGTGATGTACATATTATAGAATTATGCATAAATATATGGCTGGAAAATAGGTGGATTAGTCCTTTAATGTGTCATCAGTGAGGAGTATGTTTGTGGATAATAATCTAGTGTTAAAAGGTAAAAATACTAAAGTATAATTATGCAATGGAGCATACTATATGTATTCACCACATATTTGAAACATTAAAACATCAACTGTGTCACACAAAACAAGGTTAATGTTCAAAATACAGATACAGTATATCAGGGATTTATTATTCACAACATGAGTAAACTGGGAGTGTCTCAGTTTCCAAGCAACAGGTGCATTCACATAAAGCCAGTGAACCAGAGAGAGTTAACTTCTGTTTGTCTTACAGCAGAGCCAGCAGTTTACAGCATCCACCTGACTGCCCTGCCTCGCCTCACTCTAGAGTTGCATAAAATGTTGCCCTGAGCCCTCTCACCCACCAGTGCCCGAGCCTGTTACATTAGACTGCATTAAAGAAATAATAAATATATATGTATATATATACTGACAGCGTTTTGATTGTCGAAGCACTGACAACACACGGGGGAATCTGTCACTTCTCATGCTCTGTATGAGCACTTACTTGCTAGTCACATTATCTGTGGTATCACAATGTCAGTGACCCAGTCACGTACACAAATTTCTGCACCACACACACACACACACACACACACACACACACAAACACACACACACACACACACACACACACACAAACACACTACGTCCTTCCTCTTCTGTCATTGTTTCCCTAAATAACCCTCCAGTTGCACATTGCTTAATAGGTGAAATTAAGATCTGATAGTAACACACATCTGTCCTCAGAATATTTGACTTCAGGACACTAGAGAACTGAAAATGCTCTCCGGCCAGTGCTCGTCCATAACGCCTCTTGTTACCATTCTCTGAAGCTATGAACTGTGACTAGGTAGCATATATGTTGCATTCAAGATCAGAGAAAAATATACACACTGACAGGCAGCAAAGAGGAAGAAAGTGTTTGAAATGTGAAACACCCTTGCTAATGTGCATGTACTGTATAACCTAACATGCGAGTGAGACAAAAGAAAGAAATGTCTCCTGATAAAAGAGCAACTCAGTCAGACCAGGAAATAACACCCATGCCTTTCTCACCCTTCCCACCCTTTCTCTTTCTTCCTTTACACCTCTTGTTTGCAGTTTAATAATTTATAAGAAATACACTCAGATTCAGGGTGCAGCCAAAGGTCCCAATGGGCGGATGTGTCAGACAATACAGGAGTGTTTTCTGATGTTTTCTCTCCTCTGAGATATGAGAGGGATGTTAAGAGGATTGTCTCTTATTATGAAACACATTGGGAATGCTGAATGCCCACACAGCCATAAACTAAGCAGATGAGTGCATTTGCCCATTGCATGGCAGTAATTGCTTTACAGCTGTCCTTGCAACACCTTATCATTTTCTTGTCTACAAACAACATTCAATAATACTGTGTATTTTACATAAAGTGTGGAAAAAGCAAGTTCACTCGGTCCATTCTTGAATAACTTCACACTATTGGAGGACCACAATGTAAATAATCATTTTAGGATCTTTTTTTCTCGAAGGTTTGAATGAAAAGGCTTACAACTTGCTCCAGAAACTGACATCACATTTGCCCAGGGCAGTTCTGAACATGCCAAGAGAAAGGAAAGGCAGACACAGAAACTCCAACGCCTACAGCCATGAGACAACAACGCTATGAGAGAAGAAGAACTTACCTGGCTGCAAAAGAAAGATAACTGTCAGACAGGGAACTCACCCAACCGGGGAAAGGACTAAAACAGCTCACCACTTTCCATTAGTTGACCTCATCACAGTAACAGAATCAACAGAAACGGAAGCCGAACACCTCAGGTTGAAGGTATCCGTGGCCTTTTCCAGTGGAAAAGCACCTTCTTCCAACCTCACCATCCAGGAGAGGAAGGCTTGTGGCGTCACTGAGCAATATCACCGTCCTACCAGCTGATTAGGGAAGATGCACGGTAATCCTAAACATAACATTGCCAAACATAAAGCTAGGCCTACCATCCTAGCACCTTTGGTTTTTAAACACTCCTCATCATATTCAAAACCACATGGACTTTGTAAACAAGGTTTGAGGATTGAAACTGGACCCCAGATGAAACCATGGTGTCCTATGATGTGAGCTCATTGTTATTATGCATATCGAAACTGTAAGGCAAAGCCTGACGAATGCTCAGAAATGTCCACACATAAATGTTTAAACTAAATCTGCTGATGAAGATCACGGGGGACCTTGAAGTGAGACTGTTTTGCAAATTAAATATTAAGAATATATGAAAAATAACTACTCAGTTAAAGCATTAGGCCTTTTCACTACAGCCATTGTGACTTGTCATAGCAGGGAAAGCACAGGCAGATGTGATAACATCAATAACGGCTGTTTTCCTTCTAGGTGTGCCTTTTTCCTGGGACTAGTTTTGTGCCTGCTGGTGACATAGTTCACTGGGACACCTAACTAAAGAGGAACTATTAGTGTTAGTTGATAGACCTGTGCTCTTCCTGCAAAGATACTGTGTGTTGTAAAAAAATTCTAGTTAATGGTGTATTGATGAGACATAAACATAACATTAATTTTTCTTACAGATTTCTCATTATTCTGACTTCACCAGCCTGTCCGTGGAACTCAGCCACAAGCTCATGTCTTTCTAATAGAGACAAAACTCTTTAAAGGAATAGCTCAACAAATTAGGAAACACAATTTAGCTATCTGACTTTCTTGCTGAAAGCTCACTGATCAACATTATATCTCATTTATTTAATCCTTACAAAAGACAAAGTGTAAAAAATGAGAAGAAGTTGTGGTTTTACAGGGGGTTATTTGACGATTACCTTTAGACTGAACCAGGCTAGCTGTTTAAGCTACTATGCTGACAGTTGTTGGCAGCAGATTCATATTTACTGTATAGATAGTTGATCTTGTCATTTGACTTTCAGAAAGAAAGTGAAAGTGAAAAAGTGCATTTCCCAAAATGTTTCATCATTCCTTTATCAATGTGTCACAAAATATTTTTGGCTTAAAAAATGATTCAGTAGTTTCCTAAAACAGCTGGTCACTGTCGATTTTGGGAAAGGTTACTCAAACAGGAGTAAATAATTGGGGATTATTTTCTGTGGTGGATTAATACATGTTTTGTGCTCTAGTGACTATTTAAAGTGCATGTAGGATCAACTCAAAATGAACTACAGTGCCCATGGCTGATGTGTCCAAAATCATTCCCTATTTACTATATAGTGCATTATATTCTTTATATCCTCAGTATCTGAATGTGTGTAAATGTAAAGTGCTATACTACTTTCTGTTAACAATCCCCTAATGCAGTGTTCTGCATTATACAAAATAAGTGTGGCTCAACACCTGTCAGTGATGGTGCAAAATAATGATGATTAGTGTCTGAGATCTCATTTTACTGAGAGTATTGAATGAGTGAACAAGGGGGTGATTTTAGATACAGCCCAAGTTTTAATAGCTTGGGGACAATAGACCTTTTTCACAGAAGAACATTTTGACATGATGCCGTATGAAAAACAAAGGTGTAAATAATAAAAATCTGTTTCATGTCGATGCTCCGGTTTCAGTGTGGCTGTGGCATTTTGCATGCTGGCTCACTAACACATTTGAATACACTGGACCTACCATTAATGTGATTAGTAATGTCTGTGCTTCTCCTACTCTGACAAATCAAAATGTCTGCTGTGAAAAAGGCTAATAGAGGTCTATAGCACAAAGCAATAATTTGGTCTTCTCATAGCACTAGTTAAAAGTCAGAAAAATACAGAATATTAAAGAGGGCGGTGCAGCACATCCTCTAGTCAAAGTCAGTGCATATATAGTCAGTTATTGCCAGCTACACTTTTTGGGAGGAGAGATGAGGGAGATCTATTAGCTCGTTAACACAGAACAGACTAAGAATATCAGACATGAATATGCATATTCCTACTTAAATGTTTATAGCTTTGAGAACAAAAGACAGTTGTGCATTCACAATATTAATTTATTGACACTGTACAGTACATTATTTACCCAGTTTACATTTTGTGTCTTCACATTGACACTATCGTACATTCACATCTACTATATGAGCATCCGGGTTGCTGTTACTAGCAACTGCATTAAATTAATAAGGCAGCTCATTCGATATAAATATAGCTCTAGTTGTAATCAAAGAAACAAAGTAAGATTTTCATTTTGAATAATTTTTATCTGCATAGTTTCCTACTGTTGTAGATGGGTGTCCTTGGGTTTAGCAGGGTGAAACCCCACCAGTGGAGCAGAAGCATTTCCGCACACTGAGTGTCAAAGCGTCCTAGTTTGTGCAGAAAGGATTCTGTTAGACTGATGGGGGGGGACAGGGACAGGCAGGTAGTCACATCGTGGATCTTGCTAGCAGATGCCCGCCTTTTTTACTTGGTGAGGCTCTTCACCAGCTCCAGCGCCTCCACTGGTTTCCACTGCTGATTGATGGTGATAAGCTGCAGTGAAATGCCAAAAATAAAAATTAGGCTTCACCTGACCTGATTTGCAGGTGTGACACCAATCTAAACAGACCGGTAATCTGAGTCTCTGCACGATGGTGTGAGCCAAAATGTGTGGCAAAATAAACATCACTACTCAGATCACAATACAAGGCTGGTACTAATTTGATAACATTTCTTCTTCAGTGACTCAGCAGATTGCAGCTGCACCCTGGAAGAATTGGCACGTATTTAAAGCTTATTACCAACCATCCAAACCTTTGAAAATGTAATGTAATGTTAGAGATTACCTTTTGGGGTTTTAATGGGTCCACTCTCTCCCATGGTTCTGGGTTTTTGGTTTTATTCAGACTAAAACAGTCAGAAGTCAGATTAAAGTCAGTATAAGTATGAAAACAGGAAAGGTTAAGTGCAATCAAAACACTTTATATTATAAAATAAATTCAGTGGAATATAATCTTATCAAAATGTGAAAAAAAGTACTCGAACACTCACATAACATCAGTTTTAGTAAATAGAAAGTAGAGCGCAGCAGAGGTGGCTCCTGTTGCAGCAAAAGCCATGAACCCTATCAGAGGAATTAGCTGGAACACACATTAGAAAGTGCATCATAATATCAAAATGCATCCTACCTGGGCTATAAAACCAATATTCACAATACAAAATCATTCAACATGGTGAAAATATAGACGACTCACCTCCTTTCGCTTTCTCAACATTTGGAAAAATCCACTCATTTTTCAAAATTTTCTCAAATACCTAAAGAGAAATGTATAATAATTCCATCTAACAATAAGGCTCAGAGTCCATCAGTGAAATAAAATCAACAAGTCTCAGAGGCAGCTGTGTTTGGCAGGTCTCACCTGTTAGTGCAAAGAAGTCCTTGACGTCTCTTAGCGCAGCATCCTGTGAGCCGGGCTGATGTAGGCAGGATGAGGGGTTGTACGAGGTGAAAGGCACGTAGACAGACGGAGCTTCCTGCACTGAGATGCACCAGTGGAGTCCAATACTTCAACACATCCACTTTGCTGATGATCAATACATTTTTTGAGTGTGCAGCGCCCTCGTGTGGCTACATTTAAAAAGTGAAAGTCAGTGGTTGATAGATGGTTTTGACATGGAGATCTTGAACAGTCATTTGAAGAGAAGAGAGGAGAAAATACAAGACACCAATGGTCAAGTTTTACTAATTTTATTTCAAACCAATTTTTTAATAATACAATTGATCAATGCAGAGGACATGGGCACATGTGGTTTGTCATCTGAGTGGTGTTTGATATGTGTGGATCTGCTGGGCAGTAAGAGAGGGGCTCATTTTTCTGAGGGACTGGAGGAAGTAAGTGTGTTTGATGACAGAAGCCTCCATGTTCTCCTCTTGTAGCGCCATTAGAGCAGCCTGGAAAACAAAAATATTATTCCCTCTTTACCCATTTGCCTATGTCAACATTTAAGAACAGGATTACATTTTGTATTTTCAAAGCCTGGTGTAAGAAAATAAGACTTTTGGTTGTGCTTCACATTACCTCTTTACACAGACTTTCCAGGTCAGCCCCAGAGTAGAGCTCGGTCTTTGTCGCCAGCTCCTCCAGACACACGTCAGCATCAACAGGCATTGACTTTGTACACACCTTCAGGACGGCAAGTCGAGCCTAGACACAAGATGTGACGCATATACAAGTTTAGCTAGCTTGTTCTGTGCTCTTTAAAGAAACACTGATACAAAAAGGTGATTGTTATATTATCTAACTATCTAATTTACCTCTAAAACGCCGGACAGTTGCTTTTATGCCATAATCTTTTATATTTTTATTCACATGTGAGATGTATTTCACCTGCTGGTCGGGTGGTGGGACATAGATGATGTGGTCCAGTCTGCCAGGTCTCAGGAGGGCACTGTCTATGCAGTCAGGTCTGTTTGTAGCAGCTACAACCATCACATCTTTGTTGCACACTTCCTGGTGGTCCAACTGTCAGAGAGCTTATATCAATACATGTTCACTAATCAGCTTCATACTGATCAGATGTTGTGATTTAAGTGATGGAAGGAGGAGTGAGAGCCTTGAACACATCTGTTTAATATCTGACCTGTTCCTGTGTGTGATTCTCCTCCACTCCCTCTGCCTGGAGGATCTTCTCCGTCCCTCTCCTCTCTAGCGTCTTGAGGCCAACCCCATCCATCTCATTCAGGAGCACAGACAGGAGGCGTGTGTGTACACCGTTGGGCATCTGACTGTTTGACCGTGAGCCAATCAGAGAGTCGATCTCATCAAGGAACAGGATACAGGGAGCACAGGCCCGGGCTTGCCGAAACAGCTACATGTGGACAGACAGGTGCACGTGTTTATGGCTGTAACAGACAGGAGGACACAAACGCAAGCAGCCGAGCACAGGTCTTATTACAGGCTGTGAAATGAACGTACCTGTGCTAAAGCCTTCTCTGAGTCTCCGACATAGGGGGAGTAAAGGTCAGCACCACTGACAGACAGGAAGGTACAGCGGGAGGAGGATGCTGCAGCCCTGACAAGCGTCGTCTTTGCACATCCTGGAGGTCCATATAGCAGCACACCACGGGGCTGACTAAGGCCCAGACGGACAAACGCCTCGGGATATCTCATCGGCCACTCGATACTCTTTGATGTTCAGACACAAGGTGGGGCAGATGGAGGGGAAATTAAATCAATGAATTCCAATCACAGGTACTTGTCTTTGATTTTCAGGACACAATTTGGCTCATTATCAGTAAACAAGCTCAGCTGAAAACTCTTTGTATTTTGCTGCATAATTCAAGCACTGCTGCCCATTTACCTGTCTTAGTTTGAGTTTGACTTCTTCCAGGCCTCCTATTTGCTCCCAAGACACTGGAGAGAGCTCCGTCCTGCCCAGGCTGCTGCGCAGACATGAGGGACGCACCAACTTCAGGGCATCCTGGAAGTGTTTCATACGCACCACCTGCTCTCCTGAACCCTGCCAACAACAATGTCAAAGAAACACTAGAAAACTTATGCACAGATGCCTTCAACACTCTGGAGGGACGACGTTTTTACACTTCATTTTCAGTTCAATTAACTTTGCTTCATCAGGATAATCCACTTTTCACCAATACTGCTCTCCAGCGAATCTTTGGTTTATATATTTAAAACAAATACATTGTCTTTCACATACATAAACATGTTGGGTTGCCAAATAAGCACCATAATACTCCCCAGAATGCCATCCAGTCCTGGATATATCCTGACAGAAGGTACTACATGTAGGCCTGAAGGGAACTAAAAGGTTTCCCTTCAAGTAATATAACACTGTTTTGTGTTTTGATTCTATATAATGCGCTGCTTGATTGCTGTATTTACCTTTGAGATTTCCCGTACAGCGTGCATGGCAGCCTCCCTGCACAGGGCGCTGAGATCTGCTCCTACATAGCCTGTAGTCCTCTGTGCAAGCTCTGCCATGTCCACACTGGGACACACAGGCATCCTCGCACACAGAACAGACAAGATGGCTTTTCTCTGCTGCAAGGTGGGAGCTCCAATGATAACCTAAAAGAAAGATGTAAAATTTAGAGATCTACATTCATCATTATGTATTGATTTATGCATTTCACCCTCCGTACCTCTCTGTCGAATCTTCCAGGCCTGCGCAGTGCTGAGTCTAAGCTGTCCGGCCGGTTGGTGGCTCCGACGATGAGGAAGCGATCCGACTGATCGATCCCGTCCATCAGTGTGAGAAGCTGAGCAACCAGGCGGTTCTCCGGTGCAGATGAGCCGGTTCTCTTCGGGCACAGAGTGTCCAGCTCATCTAAGAACAGCACGCACGGACCTTCTTCAGCTGCAGATCGAGCCCGCTCAAACACAGCCCGCAACTTCTCCTCACTCTCGCCCGGCCGTGATCCCACCACCTGAAATAATCATTAACAACTAGTATTAATAATAAACTGTAATTACACACAAGTGTCCCCGTACCTTTGGGAATTGGATGATGTGATGTATAAAACCTGAAACAACACTAATCTGCTTTTCATATACAGGCGTGAGCAAAAAATTACTTTATCTTTTCAAATAGGTTGACAGTTTAAGACAATTTACCACATCATAATATAAATGGAATCTGCAGAATGTAATTTCACAACCTGCGGGTGAAAACGTTTAACCTTTGAAAATATTCAATATAATAATGTAATTTTTTACCTCTGGCCCTCTGACTACCACCAGGCTGGCTCCCACCTCCCCCACTACTCTGTGGACCAGCAGGGTCTTGCCCACACCTGGAGGCCCCACCAGGAGCACACCTCTGGGACACGACACACCCAGAGAGCTCAAAGTGCCCGGATAGAGCAGGGGCAGCTGCAGCATCTCTCTCAGGGAGGCACTCACCTTAAACACAATAAAAAATAAATAAATGTGGGTGTCACATAGTTGGAACACGATAGAAACCAATAATGACATTACAGTGAAATGCTGACCTCCTCCAGACCACCCAGTGACACCGTGTGCTGGTCTTGCAGCTGACTCCTGTAGTGCCGGACGGTCTGGATGCCAGCTATCTCAACACCTGTTTTTGAGGTGATAATTCCAGTGCTGGCAGAATCCGGATTGATGCTTTCAATAACTACATATCTAATATCTGTATCAAAATCCTCCAGGTTTATCACATACGTCTCGTGGACATGTACACCTTTCAGCATGTCTTTCACAAGCTCATGAACAAGGCGAGGAGGCGTGTGTTTCTTAAAATCAACACTCTGGACTACAACAGTTATCTTAACACCTTTCAGTTTGGGGCAGGGTACAGGTTTGAGCTGACCCGGGTCCAGGTGCAGGTGTGTGGGAGGGTGGGAGATCAGACTGGGAGAAGAACATTTCAGGTCCATCTGCAGAAAGCCCTCTGCAAGGTCAGGCCGGGGCCAGGCGGTGCACAGGCAGCTCCCCCCGGGGACAGACACCAACAGGGGGGAGCCCAGACTCAGACCCAGCTCCGACATCAAGCCTGGACCCAGCCTGCATCTCTGAGAGCCCCGGTCTGATGGATCCACTGACAGCTGCCTCAGAGACTTCATTGACCATGAGCAGCTGCCAACCACACTGACAGGAAAACACAAAAAGATAAGTAGACAGCGTTAGTTCTTATAGTACGTTAGCCATCTGGGGTCATGGTTAATTTTAGTTAATTTTTTACCAAATTTCTGTCTTTGTTTAGCACCTTTCAGACTGTCCTAGCTGCATATGTATATGTCCTTTTTTTACAGCACAAACTCAGTTATACAGACCGGAAGTATTTGGACAGTTGTTCTCCAGACTCTACAAACATTGTATTTGAAATAAAATGAATGGATACTACATTTAAGTGCGAAGTCTAAGCTTAGATTTGAGAGGGTTTACATCAATATTGAAAGAGCTGTGTTAGCCCTTCTATACGTGGTAATTGGACACTTGGCTACTAAATGATAGTTCATGCAGAAAAGAGCTCAGACGTGACTCAGAGATGGTTCAGAGTTTCAAATTTAGCTTGAGGTGGAGTTGTCTGTCAATGTGAGGAGTGAAGAGGTGATCATGCAAGTGAAGAAGATAACGATGAGGCTAATAAAAGAGCAAAAAGCTAAATCCCTAAACTTAGGTCACTACATGTTAAAAAAAAACTAAAAAACAGTGCAACTGTCCAAATATGCCAGAACCCCAAAACACAAGAAGAACTACACTGGTACGTATAAAAATGTTCAAATCTTCATTGATAATTACTAGATATATTATTATATAGTACCTCAAGGTTGTAAAAATATTTCTTTCACTATTTATACACACAAATGCGGCTGAAAAATGTAGGAAATATAATAAAATATATATAGTATAATACGGTCTATTTACATATACAGTGATTTAACCCAAATGTTTTTCGTGTCTTTCTCGTGTATGTAAATCACTGGAAAT